CCATCGTGCAACGCTGTTGGATAATTTACTGGGCTAAAGTCGCCATTTTCACCCTACTCTTGTAGTTCGTAGATTATCCTCGCATAAAAACGATCATGTTGGTAAGTGAAACATGGCTCCTAGTTGACGTCAAGTAAGTAAAATAATTGTTCTGGAAAAAGGTTGCTCAAAAAACGCCGATTTTGCCCCCGTCTTCCCCACCTGGATTCTGCTTAAACTTTGCTCAGATGTTGTACTAAGTGCTCCCGATGCCTGGGCGAAATTTCAGCCACTCGGATAATCAGGAGAAGGGGCAAGAGGGCAAAGTTGCCACTCCGGCAAAACTTTAAAACTCGATATCTCGCGAACAGCTTGAGTGTAAGTGTTGGGATGTGCGCTAAAATGTGTCTTAAAATATTCTCTACGAGTACATCGATGCTGTTTTGATAGTTGCATGATTCATCATGGTCATAATTTAATTTTTTCGATTTTGACGTTTCGATTTTTTCCGTTTCTCGTATCTCCTCTCCAGGCGATCGTCGCGATGTGAACTAAAAACAGTCGAAGTGATTTACTGCGAAATTCTGAATCTGCCTCTTTTCATTTAACCTTGGGGAAATGATTTGTTCCCGAGTTACTTACTTTTCTATTATTTTACTTACTTCTGCTACGTTGATGACGTCAACTTGGAGCCATGTTTCACTTACTAACATGATCGTTTCTATGAGAGGATAATCGACAAACTACAAGCACCCCCTCGTCAACCGTTACACACATGGCAATTGCCAGGTAGTAGCAGTAGCTAGTACGATCGCTTTGAGAGCAGATACGTAAAATGAAAAAGAGTCGAAACGTCAAAATTGAATTATGACTATGATAAATTATTAGTATATTACTTTTCATACTATACCTACTATTATAGTCAATTACTTTTCTCCTTTGTCTGTTGCAACTACCCACCTCCACTAATAAGAGCAGTTCATGGTTTAGTCTTTTTTGTCTATGAATGTCAAGAATCAGCTTACAACAGCTTCATGACTACACTCGCACTTCCAACCTTTCTTTCGCCAACCACCATGGGTTTATGGGAAAACTCTGTTTCGACCGACCACGGTTTACCGCGCACGAATATGCAAGGATCGCGGAAATTGTGGTTTTTGCATTCCCTAGGCACCGAACCCGCCGAAACGCTATTAGTTTGCACCCGTTCCGACCACCGGAAGCCGAGAGACGAGCGTCGAAGATGTGATCTGCAGCGGAGCTTCGTTTCCCTCACCTTGGCGAGCGTGATGGGTGAGTCTATGAATAAGTAGTCTATGTACTTATCTCCCTTTTATATTACTCATGAAGATATGTTTGTTTATAAAAAAATGAATTATTGCGCAATAATTTTCTTTGTCTTTTAAATTTTTTCCAGGTTGATTCAGACTGTGCAAATAAATTACTTATAAAAGCTGCATGTGATATTCTACGCCAAGCCTCTAATAATAACAAATTTACTCTTGTACACATCGAAGCTTCATCCTTATCAGGGTTGAACGCCCAGATACCAGTCGCTGATGAGGCTATCTGTAGGCTGATACATTCTGAATCTGAAGGATGTGTCAAATCAAATAGCATTAGTAATCCAGAAAAACCCCCAAATCCACTCAACTATAATCAATTTCACTCCCAACTGAGGTAAGTTTTTCTAACTCAGTTGTTAAGGATCTTCTAATACTTCGAGTAGTTTAGTGTAAGCATGCTAAATTGCTCTTTCCTACAGCCATTCACTGCACCTATCCAAAGTCTTCATAGGGACTCAAAAACTTAAGTTCAAAGACATTTGCCCCCCCCCCTTATCACTACCCTCGCGGACTCTCCAAAACCCTGCTTCGACCTTGTATTTGCGCCTCTTAACATTTCATCTCCTATCTCTAGCTTTTTTTGTTGAGAACGAGTCAAATTTGGCTGAATTTACCATAGATAGTAAAGGTTCTACCGGAAGAAAACAAGGTCATCATATTTTAGCTTTGAAAAAAATTCACAAACTGTTAGTCAATATTTTTTCAATTCAAACAGTTAACAAAAAATGGACGCAAACATTTTATTATCCAGATTATTATAGGTTATTTTTTCAATTCAAACAGTTAACAAAAAATGGACGCAAACATTTTATTATCCAGATTATTATAGGTTCTCTTTGTTCCCGCCGCGCCGGGCTCTTTTTTCACTTTTTTTTTTTTTTTTTTTTTTTTTTTTTTTTTTTTTTTAATTTTCTTTGATATTTGTTTCAGAGCTGTGAATATTGATACTTCAGAGAACGTCGAAGCATTTTATTTAGACCGAATAGACTTATTAAGAGGGACGTTCGGTGTTCTGTTGTTTTTATATTCTGTTATGTCAACAAAGGTAATTGTTGCCACATCATATTGAATTTGCCTGCATTGATCGTTTTGTCTACGTGCTTGTCCCATCTGAGCTTGCCATCAACCGATTGACGAACGATTTAGTTTGACTCTTTTGCAATTTTTATCATGCACTGCAATGGAATTTTAACTGTTTTTAAATCATAAAACAATTTTGATATCCTTTATACTCTATGGCATGAATTAATTTTGGATCATGGATTCTGGGGGACACAAATCTATGTTGTGGCTTCAGTAAAACATTTAGTCTCAAAATTTTTTTGCCTACCTTTTTATAAAAAAAACCAACACTGATGAAAATTTGCAACATCATACCAAACGAGAGTAATTCAATTTTTAAAAAACCAAAAAATGCGGTGTTACTGATAAGGAACTCCATGCCATAGAGGGTTACCTCTGGCTACTATATTACACAAGAAAAGGGATGGTCCAATACTGGGGTAAGGGCACCACGCCTAAGCTTAGAGACTTAAAATGCACACTGGAATGAGGTAGTTGAGGCTAGTATTTCAAATCTGTACAAATCTCTCTCTTGCATTTATGTGTTATGTGCCTGCAGGCACTGGATCTTTGGCTTTTAGGCAAATTAGGCTTTGTCTCCACGGGAAGTTTAATGGAATTTGTCCCAAGTTCGAATTGCAGGAACGAAACCTCTGGGCTCTTTCACCGTTGAGCATACCAACAAATCTTTCTCAGCTTCTCTCATAATCATTTTTAGGACTCCACAAGGACTCATTTGATACTATTATTGACTAACTAAATATTTTTCCCAACCTCACAAATGAGATTTTTCCCCGGGACGAATCCCATGAACCATATGGGTTAAAATGTAAAATCCTGAGGACGAGAACTTTCTCCGATATTCTTTGATAACTTTAATTTTGCTCGAAATTTCCATTTAGGGGCTTAGAAAACAAGGCGCATAAGTGCAGTTTTTATTATTTCGAAAAAAACGAATTTAAAGTTCTGGATTTTTCTCGGACCTATAGAGAGCTCGGAATACCTTTAAACTTTACTCACACCTTCATGAACATCTTCTGAAATTTTCAGCTTAGTTAAGCCAAATTGAGGCCAGCAGTTGGGCTTAAAGTGACGGTAGGTCGCTCTTATCCCATCTAAACGAAAAATGCTCTTATCCCATTCGCTGTTTTCTCCACGTCAAATGACTTCCAGACAAAATCGCTTGGTATTTTGATAGACGTCACCTTCAACCACCAAAAAACATGCACAACTCAATTTTTATTCAGAACATGCTTCTGAGCACACAATTTTATTTTTATTTCCATCCAGCCTTCCTTTTTTAATACAGAAGATCACGAAATGGTCTTGATTTCTGTTTCCCCTTCGCCGTTCCTTCCTGTTTTTACCGTCTGTGCTTTTAGTGAGGTCCAGTTGTTATCTTGTAGGTATCTCACCTGTTAGGGCTGGGCCGTAATCTCTAGTCTCGAATTTCTAAAACTGCACTTATGCGCCGTGACCTCCAAGCCCCTCAAATATACTCGCTAGGTAGAAGAGAAGATCAAAGTTTTTAAAAAAAAAAAACTCTAATTGAAGCCATTGAGATAAGAGAGTATCTAAAAGAGAAAATTTGAAATGTTTTCAAGGAGTTTCCATATGACCCAAATAAGTGGCAGCAGCAGATACTATTTGTGGTAGTGGTCAAAGATGGGATTTATTTGAACCAGCTTTTAAGTAGTAAGAGTTGGTGTTCATTTCTAACACATTATGCGAGGGGCGTTCAATAAGTAAATATGCCCTCCCCCTTCTAAAATCTATAACAATTGACCAATTTTAGAAAACTTGAGCCCAAAATCCTCCTTAAGATGTACTGAATTCAACGAAACAAACCGCAACAAAATCGGAGCCAGTTGTTCTGTAATCACCTTTTTGAGGTAATTATTTGGATTTTTCCTGCAAGTGGGACACGAAAGCTGCATTGACCTTAAAATCATGGCGAACATAGGTAAGAAGATATCATGAAAGATTCACCGATAATAATGCCTTAATAGGTCACTTTTATGGGTTCCGGAAAACAAATGGTTCAGTGGCAGTGTTCATCATGAAGTTACCGCGCGCTTCACATTGTTCAAGATCACATTGTTGCTTCCAAATGGGAAGTATTCCCATACCCTCCCTACTTCTCTGATTCGGCACCATCGGACTACCATTTTTTCCATTTTCTGAAAGCTGAACTCTGGGGAGTTCATTTCGAATCCGTGGAAGAGATCAAACATCCCGTCCACACTTTGTTCACCAGTCAGCCGAAGGACTTCTGCCCGCGAAGTATCCATGAGCTTTCCTCTCGGTATTGCACTGAGGGCGCGATACGGTGATGTCTGCACCTGAGGTTTTTTTAGCACACGCTGGCAACAACGCAACCCTTTCTCGGCCGATACCGGTCTCAATTAAATCTAAGACCGCGCGGGCGCGCGACCTCAGCGGATCTCAATTCGTCATGCTTTTTCGCCGTACCTCTGGACTACTGGAGCTCCAAAAATAATTGTTAAAATCTGCTTCGATTTTAACTCTCTTAGTAAACTTACATTCTGCCTAAAAAAAAAAATCAGAGTATAATCAGCTATATTTCTCTATGATATGTGATATGCAACAGAGATAGTGTCCAGTAAGTCGCAAATTCAGCAGATGAAGTATTTTTCACATTATACTGCAGAATCGCATACAGGGTTTTTCAAAAGTCATACACCACTAATCATGAGGGGGGTGGCTATTTGAAATTTTTGAGTTGCCCCCGACCCCCTTGTAACGAGGCAAATCCCCCTTCTCTGCGAAGCAGGTCCAGGACATCAGAGGCACATACGTCCTCTGGTATAAGATATGCCAACGTTACTTGAGGTGCCGGATAACTTCAGTGGGATGCCTGGATTCGGGCGCCATAGAAAAAAATAATAATGAGTGAAATCGAAAATTGAGAGAGAGAAAATTTTAACTGGAAAGGGAATTTAGCAGAGTTCCGTCTGATGCTGCTCAGCTCGCGCACCACTACTTCACTACTTGCGTTAAAGGTTGAAAGCGTGTTTTCCAACTTACAAGTATTTATTTAAATGGAGATTTATCAATAATTTCCACGTATACATATAATTCATTCTTAAAATTCTATGGATATTCTGATCGAAACTCGAGGGAAAATGGTTCGGAAGGTAAATTAAAATACATCTCTAAGACCAACCAAATCTAAGATCTACTACTTTTCTCAGTAAAACTCGCAGAGAGATGCAGCTCAACTCGCGCACCTCGCTCCGCGCTTTCCACCGAGGAAAGGCCGCTACTCTTGGATCACGTTTGCAGGGGTAGTGCACCTCAGCTCGGGCACCACGTCCCACGCAACCGAAACCCCAAGAGGTCCAAAGCTGGAGCAAATCTTCGGTAGAGCTTTATTCACCGTACCGCCTATTTGCTTCAACCGCAGACATAACAAGCCAGAATCGCAAAGTAAGAAGAGAAATGCAGGCTCACCTCGCCGCACCTCGATCGACGTACTAGATAACTCGCTTTAACAGTCTGCTGGATCGGAACGTCCCCCCGTGAGCGATGGGTCTGGTCGGGAGGCCACCAATTTACAAATTTCAAAAAAAAGCAAGTGCTCGAGTTCCGTTCAATTTTGTGAGCATACAATATATCAAAAAAAATATAAAATTTACATCGTTGGCTTTGCCTCGACTTCTTTTATCGAACTATACAGTTAAAATTAAAATACAATTTGTTTTTAAAATTTTAAATTAATGAAAAATATTTAAAAATTGACAGAATTGTCGCAGCGCTCCCTATTGGCGCGTCGCGGTGCTCGGATGGACGCCGAGCGTCAGCTGATTTCTTCCTTGGCTCGCCGGCGCAGGCGCGGCGATGCCAAGCGTGGTCGCTCGGGAGTTATTCCTCGTTTTTTTTTTCGACAATCTATAAACTTAAAAACGGGGGAAAATTTCCCCGTTACACCCCTCCCCCCAAGTGGATCAAAAACTGGAAAGTAAAACTTTCCCCCTCGATATGAGGAAGAACGTCTTGAACCACAAGTCAATATCATAATTAGAACTAAAGTTGTGGCCAGTGGTGCGTGACTTTTGAATAACCCTGTATTTTCCGTAGTTTGACCACTAACTCACTTAAAATTTCACCGCAAATCTGAAAATGTAAGATGTAAAGATTTTTATTTTTTTTTTTCTTTAAAAAATAAAAGAATTGCACTCTTAATGCCTTATCGTCAGTTGAAATTTCGAGGGTCAGAATCAGGCATAAGACAATAGAGCAGCGATCTAGTTGCGTTCCGAGCCGTGGTCTTAAGGTTTGCTTTATCGCCATTTACGGGATTATGGTGTTTACCAATTCGATTTTCCAGGCATCATCGTATCGCGTCCCCAGTGGTGTGTCCTGCTTGGATCGAGCTCGTGACCATGTGAAAAAGTGAATCAAGCCCCTTATACCACGCATAACTTATTTGATTTTTCGTCAGTGATGAACGACTGAAGTTTTGGCAAAGAAGCTCCTCTTTTTTCGCGGACTTATAATCCCCGCGGATCCGGCGGGAGCGGCGCGCATGTCAGCGCGTTCAAACGGCTTACGTTCGGCCGTATGAGGTCCGATTTTGTTGCGGTTTGTTTTCTTGAACTCACAAGGGGGAGGGGAAGAGGGGCTACCGATTGTCCTCCTCAGATCGGGTTCTTTGGCAGGGCGAGTTAGAATAGGGAAGTACAAGAACCCGTATTTTTTTTTTTTTTTTTTTTTTTTTTTTTTAATGACCAATCTTTTTTGATTTATGAATGTTTAAAGTTGCCGTTTTTCCACGTCAGCGACACGGCCGAGTTGAGCCAACTGTGCGTGCGCCTTTTAATTTGCTGTGAGTAGCATCCTAGCATCTCAGACATGAAAATGGAATGGCGCAATGGCAGTGCGTCCAACTACGGCACCGGTGTGGTGGCTGGTTGCCCAGGGCTCAAATCTCGTCACGGATGATTACTTCTTATAACTGGTCTTGCGGTTTTTCAATCGCGTTATTACAGTAAATTGTAAGTCACCCTTTATAAATTATAATGCTAATTATTTTCTATTTCCCTCTATTATTTTCGTAAAACGATCAATCCACGTCATTGGCAAACAATTTTCATCGGCTCCTCTTCTTTTACCCCTTTCTTTTTTCCTTTGAATGTAGTGCTTTTGAATGTAATTATAGAATTTGAATGAAATATAGAATTTTGAACGAAATATAGAATTTCGAATGAAGTGCTTTTGAATGTAAGTGTATAATTTGCACATACCTTGCAAAAATTATTTTTGGAAATATATAGTCGACCAATAACATGGATTGATCGTTTTACGAAGATGATAAAGAAAAAGAAAAAATAATTAACGCCATAATTTGTAATAGGTGACTTACTTATAATTTGCTGTAATAACGCTATTAAAAAACCACATAATCAGTTATAAGAAGTAACCAGCCATGACGAAGATCGAGCCCTGGATATCCGATACCGAAATCAGATGCATTTCAACTGTGCCAGACTACTCTCATACCTGGGATGCTACTGACAAGAGCATATTAAAAGGCGCGCGCACAGTTGGCTCAACTCGAGCGCGTTGCTGACGTGAAAGAGCAGCAACTTTAAAGAATCATAACTCAAAAGCGGCTGGGTATTGGAGTATGGGAATAAAAAAAAATACGAGTTCTTTTATTTCCCCACTGTAACTCCCTGCCAAATTTGAATCCGATTTCAGGAGGACAATCGGTAGCCTCCCCATGTCAGTAGGTATATCTTAAGGAAGATTTTAAGCCCAAGTTTACTGAAATTGGTCCATTTATATAGATCTCAAAAGGGGGATACTTACTTATTGAATGCCCTCCGTGTTTAAAGTCATGTGAATTTATGGTGTGATTTTATTATTTCAGGGTCTTGATAATTTAAGGTCTGAGGTTTCTGATCCAGATGAACCGCTAATTGATAGTGAATTTGGGTATGGAAGTCAAAGTTTAATCAATTTAATGATAACTGGCCAAGCTGTCAATTATGTGTGGAATAACTATCAAGATATCGGTGGCCTAAGTAAGTTGACACTGCTTTCATCTTAATTGTAAATTAGTTTGCATTTCAGAAATTACAATCCCACTTTAAAGAAGTTCAGATTAAGATAATACCTACTTGCGGATTCAAGATACCCTACTTTTAAGGTCAAGAAAAGTTTTGGTCCATCAATTAGTAGGTAACTAGACCAAGGCCACTAGTGATCTGAATGTTATTTGTTATTTTGTCTCTCAATTCAAAAGATGTGGACCTGTGCCCAATTATGAGGGTCATCCAAAAATTAAGTTTGGGTACCCTTTTCATATCTCTGAAAATAAAATAGATTAATTAAATCGGTAATAACGAGCTTCTTTCTTATATCCTTACCTCCCTATCAATACCAAGATTTTTTCTGAACCAATGGGTGCGGAGAAAATCTTTTCCTAAGTGAAAAACTTCCAGCGAGTTCTGTCCACTGAATCGTGTGCTGATGTGAGATGCACTGCATGCTGTCGCACGTCATTGTTGTCTCTAATATTTTCTTGCCAGGTATCGTCATAAGAAAAGCGCGATCTTCCAACACATTTTCTGAGGATTTATCAGTGATAATGGATGCATTGCGAACTCATGAACAGCTTTATAATGATAAGTGGATCCTTTAATCAGTATCGTGCGTTTCATCATGGAGTTGCCATTGCGCAACGTCGCCGATTGTATTCGTTTTTTCGTCGCAAGCACTGGAACTTGTACGGTAGTCATCAAAAGTTAGTTGCAGTTTATGGTGGTCCGTCTATAAGTTATGTAATGGTTTGTAAATGGCGGAATCAGTTTCTGAATGGGCGTGAACATATGCACGACGGTAAAAGGTCCGGACGTCCCAGTTATTCCATAGGAGAGATGTTGCTGCAATTGATGCTATTACATTGGAAGATTGTTGAAGAGGATCCCCTAGGGTGCATAAAAAAAAAAAGTGAAAGTCGGAAATGCTCTGCTCCCCATGCGGCAATCAATGCCACTTGATATAAAAACATTTTTGCCTAAATTTGGGTCAATTTCAACCATTTTAAATGGTGCAAAAGGTCAATTTGTGATAAAATTCTGATATTTAGGTTTAGACCCAGATTTCGTTCAAAAAAGAATTTCAAATCAAATTTTACGCTGAAATCGTGCGTTTTGAGAAAAATGCCAAAGAACTCAAGTTGTAGAGGATGAAATTTTACTTTAGGCAGACGTCTTTGTAAACGATGAAAATCAAATTGAAATAGAAACATTCACCTCGATAGATATTTGTTTGGTCCTCAGAATTTCTGAGGTCTTACAAAGTAGCGGTATAGAAGACTCATTGTTCACTAAAATAAATCGAAAGAAGGTATAACTGAACTGTAGGTAAGTACCGAGGATGCAAATGTCATCAGAACTCCCTCAGTTTCGAGGAGGGGCCCAACTGTTTTGCATAATCCTCCAAAAAGTGTACGGCTGAAAAAGCAGGATTGTGCTATAAAAGTAAGGGATAAGGGCGGTTTGGCCCCGAAAAAATTGCAGAACAAACTTTCCCTATGTAATGGTCATCAGTAGGTCCTCCTGAACTACTTCCTCAAAGTTAAACGTGGTCCTACCCCGGAACACCCCTCAAAGTACCTAAAATTCAAAATGACGGCCGTAATAAGGGGGTCCGGGAAGTCGTTATTTTAAAATGTTCATTAAATCAATGGGTCGTGTGAGATATCATTTTCTACGTCAATTTGGTCGTAAATTTCATAAATGAACTCAACAAGCCCCCCCCCCCCCCCCCATAAACGAACTTCACAAGGCTCTTTGGTCAAAGGGGACGCTCCAAATCAAAGATGGCGGCCAAATGGGAAAGGCAGGAGGTTGCATTTTATTAAATATTCACGAAAGGAACAAGGCAAATGAGGGGTCTCCATTCCTTTGTAAAAGTCGTAAACTTCATACAAGGACAATATTTAAATATTCGCGTAAGGAACAAGGAAAATGAGGTGTCTCATTTTCCATAATTAATCTTGGATTTGGGACTCTTCTCTTGACGGGGGGGGGGAGGTGCTTATTTGCCTTCATGTATTAAGTTTACTTCTAAATTTACAAAGGCGTGGAGACCCCTCACTTGCCCTGTTCCTTTCGTGAATATTTAAAAGATGCAACCTCCAGCCTTTCCCATTTGGCCGCCATCTTTGATTCGGAGCGCCCCCTTTGACCGGGGAGCCTTGTTGAGTTCATTCATGAAATCTACGACCAAAAGTACACAGGAAATGATATTTCACATGACACATTAATTTAATGAACATTTTAAAGTAACGACTTCCCGGACCCCCTTATTACGGCCGTCATTTTGAATTTTAGGTACTTTGAGGGGTGTTCCGGGGTAGGACCATGTTTAACTTTGAGGAAGTATTTCAGGAGGACCTACTGATGACCATTACACTGGGAAAGTTTGCTCCGCAATTTTTTCCGGGCCAAACCGCTCTTATCCCTTACTTTTATAGCACGATCCTGCTTTTCCTTCTTTTTGGAGGATTATGCAAAAAATTTGGACCTTTTCTAAAAACTGGGGGAGTTCTGATGACATTTGTATCCTCAGGATTTGCTTACAGTTCATTTGCACCTTTTTTCAACTTATTTTCGTGAGAGCTGAGAATATAAGAAAGAAGCTCGTATTTACCGATTTGATTTTTGTTAATTCCGGAGGTATGGTAGGGGTAAATTTACTTTTTTAATGATCCTCGTACGCAAGTTTATCCATTGTCTCACAAAATCCCATATTTTTCCTCCAAAAATGTTCTGTTTTATTTTATGTCTCATATATCTTTGTTGCAGAACTAAGGGGCATCAGTAAACAAAGTGAAGTAGGTTTTTTAACTTTACTTGAACATCATAGGTATTGTGAAGTAGGTTCATTTTTGAAAAACCCAATATCACCAGTTTGGATACTAGGGAATGAAACTCATCTTACAGGTAGGCTTTTATTTGATTTTTAAGTATTGCTTCGATTTTCCTTGCTTTGCAATCCATTGCCTTGCCAACAATCGGGTTTTTTTCTATCTAGATCGGTTTTTAATTTTGTTCTCCAACAGCTTATTTCAAAGTATATGGTCTTAGCACTAAGCTTCGTAAAAAGGACAACAGGCAAACATTGGCAATTAAAGGCCAAAATGCATTTAAAGGGGTAAGTGCAAAACGGGCCATTTCACGCTCGTTTCGGGTACCATTGAAACTTGCCCTACTCATTCATCTAACAATGCCCCATGTTTTCCCAAAGTTTCAAGTCTCCAAAAATATCGGGGGAAGTGGCGGGGGGTCAAAGTTGAAAATCCGCGAACGTTTTGCAAATTTTTTACTCGAAAATTACTACTTATTTCGAAGCACGGTTTAAGCGAGCGTTTCCAGCGTGAAAAGAGCTTTCAGAAAATGTAATATCATAGGGTTTTGTCGACTTAAATTCGAGTTATCACCTCCGAAGCGCCCGAACGCTAAAAAATTACCCGCTTTTTTTTCACGTTCGGGCCGATCCCCAAAATAGCCCATTTTTAAGTTCTTCGAAACACTGATATGTTTTGGTCGCGAGTTATAAGAGCGGAAAGGAGCGAAGGTCGGGAAAATCGGCTATTTTAAACTGCGCACGACGACGGATCAAGAGACATGCGGCAACAATGCGAGGTCGGCAGAGGAGTGTGATTCGCCGAACTGAGCAGGAAAGGACGTTCTCCTTCTAACTCATGCGACGCGCGCAGTTCAAAATAGCCGATTTTCCCGACTTTCGCTCCTTTCCGCGCTTATAACTCGCGAACAAAACATTTCTCGATGATACGGTAAATACATATAGGTGCCATAGAGAGTCAGGAACAACATATCAGTTTTTCAAAGAAATTAAAAATGGGCTATTTTGGGGATCGGCCCGAACGTGAAAAAAAAGCGGGTCATTTTTCAGCGTTCCGGCGCTTCGGAGGCGATAACTCGAGTTTAAGTCGACAAAACCCTATGATATTATACATTTTCTGAAAGCTCTTTTCACGCCTGAAACGCTCGTTTAAACCGCGTTTCGAAATAAGTAGTAATTTTTGAGTAAAAAATTTGCAAAAATTTCGCGGATTTTCAACTTTGACCCCCCGCCACTTCCCCCCAAAATTTATTGGGGACTTGAGACTTTGGGAAAACATGGTGCATTGTTAGATGAATGAGTAGGGCAAGTTTCAATGGTACCCAAAACGAGCGTGAAATGGCCCGTTTTGCACGCACCCCTTTATCAGAGACCAATTAATAGTAGACAAATAGAAAGTTTACGAAAAATCACCTTGACTGTGCTTCTTGAGGGGTAAAAAGATTTGAGGTTTCAGTAATATGATCATTGTACTTCTCTGAAAATTTGAATTTGAGGTGCTGCTGCCCGTATTCGCGGCCTGTGCAGAGAAGCATTTAGCATGGAGTTCTCTCTTAAAATGTAAAATTTCTGTCAGATCTGAATGTGGCTAGGGACAATGCTCACACAACTCATCCGCTCGACGCTCAACCTTGGAAATAAATTGGCCCAAGAATGCTATAAAAACTTAGTGGCACCACTCATACAGGGTAGCCCTAAAGTCCGTACTCCCCTCGTAACTTTTGAACGGTTAGAGATAGAAAAACGAAACTTTAGGAATGTTTCTATCTTAAAGGGGTCCATCTTCTAGGGGGGGGGGGGTCAAAATATTTGTCCCCCCCCCCTTAGGGGGGACGCGGGGGCCCCCAACTTTTTTTTTCAAATGGTAACCCCTATCTTGTGATACATCATTAGAAAGAGCATAAAAAACTAAGAATTTTGGCGCAAACTGCAAATCAATATCTTAATTTTTGACCGAGTTATGATTTGACCTATTTTCAAAAAATCATATCTCCGGTTCAAATTATCGTAAAGACAAAAATAAGACGGGAAAATTTACCAAATTGTAAGCACTTTCAAGTAAAAATCACAGAAATTACTTCAAACTAATTTTAAGGGGGGTTTCGGACCCCCAAATACGTCATTTTAAAGGTCATACGATATTCTCGCGAAATGAGCCAATTTCCCCTTACTTTTCCTCAACATTATCTTAGTAAGTTCAAAATTAGTTCAACATTGCGTTTTCAAGTCCCCAAATTTCGAACAAAGTTTTAAAAAAAAATGAAATTTAAATGGTTGAATTGAATCACCTAAAATCTCGTTTTTTGAACTTTGCTCAAAATTTAGGGACTTGAAAACGCAATGTTGAACTAATTTTGAACTTACTAAGATAATGTTGAGGAAAAGTAAGGGGAAATTGGCTCATTTCGCGAGAATATCGTATGACCTTTAAAATGACGTATTTGGGGGTCCGAAACCCCCCTTAAAATTAGTTTGAAGTAATTTCTGTGATTTTTACTTGAAAGTGCTTACAATTTGGTAAATTTTCCCGTCTTATTTTTGTCTTTACGATAATGTGACCCGGAGATATGATTTTTTGAAAATAGGTCAAATTTGATCTTTGACCTATCATAACTCGGTCAAAATTTAAGATATTGATTTGCGGTTTGCGCCAAAATTCTTAGTTATTTATGCTCTTTCTAATGATGTATCACAAGATGGGAGTTACCATTTGAAAAAAAAGTTGGGGGCCCCCGCGACCCCCGCGTCTCCCCTGAGGGGAGGACAAAAATTTTGACCCCCCGTAGAAGATGGACCCCTTTAAGATAGAAACATTCCCAAAGTTTCGTTTTTCTATCTCTAACCGTTCAAAAGTTACGATGGGAAGGGGGGGGGGTACGGACTTTTGGGACACCCTGTATAACCTTGTTCCTCTGAAAGCGAACTCCTAAAATTGAATTCTGAAGTTAAATTTCAATAATTTCTTTTGCATATTTTTACTTTCTCGCTCCCATAGGGTAGAGAGGAAGTATTGTCATCCTCCAAAAAAAAAAAAAAAAAAAAGTTGAAATTTCATCATTTCTAGACGTTTTAAGGTCCCAGGAGTAAAAATAACCATACTTGGAAAAATGTGTGTCCGTCCGTCCGGCGTCCCCCAAATCTGTCTACAGCGCTATCTCAGAATCTATCTGTTCGATTTCATTCAAAATTGGCACAGGACACCATATCTATGGTCTCCTTATGCACGTCCAACGATTTTGAGGTACGCTAAAATTTGGGGGGGCTACGCTCAATTGTCCATTTTTAGCAAAATCACACGGAAAGCTCATTTTGAAAGACTGTAAATTTTGAAAAATGTCTTTAATTCTTTAACAATGGGCATCAAGCACATCACCTGGGTCATTAATTTAAGTTCCAAAAAGATCTTTGGACTAAACTCAAAATTCAAGAGATTACGAGGCCCAAAAGTAGGCACTTTGCTCCGCGAAACAGCTCATTTTCAAGGACTGTAAATTTTAAAAAAAATAAAAAAAATAAAAAAAAATTCCTTCAATTCTTCGAAAGTTGGCATAAGAGCACCACCTGGTTCATTAATTTAAGTTCCTACGAGGTCTTTGGACTAAACTAAAAATTGAAGGGTTACGCGTCATATAGCGAGGAGAGCACTTCGGTCACACGGAGAGCTCATGGACTGTAGATTTTGAAAAAATGCCTTTAATTCTTTGAAAGTTGGCTCAAAAGCACCATCTGAGTCATTAATTTAAGTTCCTAAAGGATTCATGGACTAATCTCATAATTGCAGAGGGGCCGATAGGAAACGCTCAATTCTCTGATAAATGAGTCGGAGCGCTTCTAGATAATAGCAGCAAACGCTTTGAGTCAGGTGAAACCTAGGAATTCAAATGCATTATATAATGCATCATATACTATTTCCAAAATTACTCCGTAGGTAATCACAAAGCAAAATTAGACAACTAATTAGATACATACTCACATTACAAAGGTACTATGAATCATCAAGCTAACGCCAAGAACTGACACTTAGATCTTTATTAAAAACTAATATGTTTGTTGTTAATGAATTTAGAATCCCGGCAGATTCCATCTTTTGCGGTTCCTTTTTACGAGGTACTAAGCACAAATATAATGTAATAATTCGGCACAAATATGACTGATTTAATGCTTGTTAATGAAGGAGGTTATAATTGTTGTAACGTGACGTTTGTTGACTTGTCTCTGGTTGACGTTTGTCGATGGCGCTCTCTATTGTTTTCGCTTTGAGTTACGGGGATACGCGGTAAGGAGATGGCGCTCCTGGCGGGCGTGTGGTGAACCTTCCAGCAGGTAGATTCGCCCGCCAAATTTAAAATTTGGGAGATGCTAAGCGAAAACCGTTTAGTTTTAAGACTATTTGAACATCGAATAGTCATTCTACCCATTCAAGTAGATATTTGATGGCTTTTGACCGTGCTTAAGGAGAGATTATAATATAAAATCGTATCTGAAGTATGATGTCAATGAATCTAATGGATCCTAATGAATCGTAGAAAAGCTAAGATTTTTACGGATCGCCATCTTTGACAGGAGACTTAGTTAATCAATTACATATTTAATTGAAGATGCCTCATAAAATCAACAAGTCGAGTCCGAATATATGAATTCACCACATATCGCGAAGACATTTACAATGAAGTTCAATGGTTTGAATACAAATTTCATAACTATTATCCTGTGATCAAAATTCCAATCAAACTTTATGATTTTGTAAAATTGGCAGTATTTTTCTAAATATTCCAGTAAAAGTGTCTATGCCGGCTCGAGCGAGAAAGTCCCGTGCGGTCCCCGCACCAATCCGCTAAGCGGATGGGGGGGCGAAGCCCCCCAAATGCCGGCGCGTAGCGCCGGTACGCGGCGCGAAGCGCCGCGCATAAATTGGCCAGAGGCCAATTTTTTTTATTATGACAGTTATGCCTTGATGTATGTGGTAATGTTTTGATTAATGTCATCATTGTAACCCTTCCTTTTTACAGTTTTATTCTCTTTTGAAAAAGCTCTAGTCTGTACAGAAACACCAAGCGAAGTTGCTCGAAGAGTGTTCAAAAGCTTTGATCCTGATGGAAATAATTTTATTCAAACTGACTTGTTACAAGATGTCTTAAATATTTTAGATCTTGTTTCTGAGCCTGAATAGTAAGTACTTCATTGAAGTGTTTTTCTTTTCTAAAATTTTAAAACTGAGAAGCTTTAAGCAGCTGTATAGTGCATTTTCAAGATTTTTGTATTTCAGTTAAGGCCATTCAAACAGATACATACTTAAGAAAGTTTACAGAAGCTCTAAAAGTAAATGACACGATAGACCACTGGTCAGTCAGAACTATACCATGGTATGATGTCCAAATGTGTCATGTAGACTTACAGAGTGGGCAAAAAGTGTACCATACTTGTTGATATCTCGAGAACTGTAGTCGATAGTGACATGCAACTTAGACAAAACTTCCTCATATAAAAGTGAGCAAACTTTTTGAGGGGAGTTGTAACATCCGGCGCAACCGGGGAGGGGGGCAAATTCCTAATCTCAAATAATGTAGGAATCTCCGTCGTGGCATACCTCATTTGGACGTATATCTGCCAAACGGAACTATGTGCATTATGACTTGAGCCCTATTAAGCATATATTCTTATGGATCTCAGGGCTCTTGTCTTAATGCACATAGTTCCGTTTGACAGAAATACGTCCATTTGAAAGATTACAACAGAGAAATTTTTGGCGCAAATCAAAGGTTGATAACCATCACCGTTTCAGTATGGCAGCTAGTTAAATTTATCAAATAGTAATACAGTTTGCGCCAAAAATGTTTTTTTTTTTTCGATCTTTCAAATGAGGCATCACACGATGAATTCAAAAGTTGCCCCCCGTCCTCTGCCCCCTGGCGGGCAGAGGGTCATGATTCCCCCATCAAAAAATAGTGGCCCACTTTTATTTTCAAGATGTTTTGCCCCATCCGCATGTCCGTGACTGCAACCATTCTAGAGTTATTTTCTAATATCCATACTCTTTGCCCACTCTGTATGTCTCAATTTTAGCCCATCCATTCCAAATTCTGAGAATCCTGATACTGCACTAAGGCTTTGTACAAAAGACTCGTACGTAAAACCGAAATCAGTTCTTTTGTTTTGCCAATTTAAATAAATAACTTATTTTAACTTGGCATTTTGTTCTTACCTTTCTTTTTTGTCCGTGTGTCGAGTTTTTCATCCATGAATAATTACGATTTTCAGCATTATGAATCGAATTTTGGTCTTATACGCTAACGGTGAACTAGGCCTTTGAATTTTCATATAGTTTGAACCCAAAATTTGTCATTTCTGAAAAATACCCTCCTGCCATTCAAAGTTGGCCGCCATCCTGGATTTGGTGCACCCCGTTTGACCAGGGGCTTCTTTTGACACTATCTTTAAAATTTATGATTAAAATGACATGGGAAATAACACCTCACACCACACGAGATGTACATTTTAAATTACCTTGATGCTTGATAATCAAAACACGGCCGTCCTTTTGAATTTTAGGCATTTTAAGGGGTATTCTGCGGTGCGGCTGTAGAAGACATTTTGTATGTTTCCTTTTATTCAGGCCAACCTGATGATGATATTCTTGTAGGAAAAGTCTGTCTCGCAATTTGCTCCAAGTTAGCCCTCTCTCCCGTCTTTCTCCTGGACTGAACGAGAATTGTACCAAATTTCCGGAACAAATCAATACACAATCAATAGATTTGTATACAGGGTGTTTCAGACCACCCGTACCAGGCCTTTTTCTCGGTTGTTTTAGGTCGTACGAAGTCGAGGACCGCGGGGTTGAATAGGGAATTGACCCCAAGGAATCCGAATTTCGTGGTCCCGGAACCCCCCCCCCATCGCCCCTTGGGGGGTAAAGGGGGGGTTACGATGCTAATAGTCACGGTTTCCGACCGAATTGCGGATTAATCACATCAGAATTGAAAAGCACGGAAAATTTCACGTGAAATTGATCCCTAAAAATCCATAATCGGCCCATCCAAGGCCCAAAAAAGATCCCCTAAAGAGGGGGACAGTACCCCCCTCCATAATTTCTCTTTGGTCTCAAAATTGACGTAGATTCTCCAGGAAAAGATGGTTTCTCAGGCAATGGACCCCGAGAAATCCAAATTTTATAGTCCTGAAGCTCTTCTAGCCCCCCTTGGGGGGTTAACGGGGAGCCCAATTTTAAAAATCGGGGCTCCTTTCCGAATCGCAAATTGATTGCATCCAAATTGAGGAGCAGAACACTTTTACATCTTAAGTGACCCCCAAGAGTTTTAATTGACCCCCCTGAACGGCAGAAAGTAACCCCTGAGGAAATTTCAAAAATTTCTCAAGATTCCTCTTTGGTCGCAAAATTGACGTCGATTCTCCATAAAAGACGGTTTTCCAGGTAATCGACCCTGAGGACTCTGAATTTCATGGTCCCGAAGCTCCGCTACCCGCCCTTTTGGGCAGAAAACGTCTTTTTCTGGAGAATTGACGTCAATTTTGCGACCAAAGAGGAATCTTGAGAAATTTTTGAAATTTCCTCAGGGGTTACTTTCTGCCGTTCAGGCGGGTCAATTAAAACTCTTAGGGGTCACTTAAGATGTAAAAGTGTTCTGCTTCTCAATTTGCGATTCGGAAAGGAGCCCCGATTTTTAAAATTGGGCCCTCCGTTTATCCCCCAAGGAGGGCTAGAGGAGCTACGGGACCATAAAATTTGGATTTCTCGGGGTCGATTGCCTGAGAAACCATCTTTTTCTGGAGAATCTACGTCAATTTTGAGACCAAAGAGAAATTATGGAGGGGGGTACTGTTCCCCTCTTTAGGGGGTCTTTTTTGGGCCTTGGGTGGGCCGATTATGGATATTTAGGGATCAATTTCACGTGAAATTTTCCGTGCTTTTCAATTCTGATGTGATTAATCCGCAATTCGGTCGGAAACCGTGACTGTTAGCATCGTAACCCCCCCTTTACCCCCCAAGGGGCGATGGGGGGGGGGGGTTCCGGGACCACGAAATTCGGATTCCTTGGGGTCAATTCCCTATTCAACCCCGCGGTCCTCGACTTCGTACGACCTAAAACAACCGAGAAAAAGGCCTGGTACGGGTGGTCTGAAACACCCTGTATTGTAAGACTGTTTGAAAAATGCTCTACTAAGTTCCAGGTAGAATTTTCTGGTAAAATTTCTTCTGTCTTTTTGGGACCATATAGACCCTGTTTCTGTGAAGAGGCAGTTTGCGCAAATGTTCGCAAGGTTTAGTGCTAGATTTACTGGACTATTGGAACTCTGTACTTTAACACAAATCTCCCAAAAACATTACCTGAGGACTAAAAGTTTTGAAAAGTTATGATTAATAACATTTGGGTTTTGCGTACAAAATAATCTCGTTTCCAATCAATTTGCAAAGTTATATTTTTGCATCCACCATAGTTTTTGTGAGAGTGAGAGTATAAAGCGAGTAATCACGTATTTAAAGTATCTCTAACTGTAATTACTACAGCTCAAATAGCATGCCTTGCCAAATCTATCAAAATTATTAGATAGGTAAAGTATTTTTATTATTAGAGTTGGGTCTTACAAATTGATTTATCAAACAATTTAATGCTTAAAGTAATTTCTTTTTAATACGTCCTAATATTTTTCTTTCAACAGTGTTGATATAATGAGGAAAAAATTGGACTCGGAAAATCTCGGCATCATTCTGCTGTCTTCTTTTATGGATGAATTTTTCTCTGAGGAAACAAACTCAACTCCTGACACATTCACATTATTTCATTACAATGGTCTTCCTCGTTCATGTCCAAATAATAAGGTAACCGCCCATACGAATTTCTTTCTTTGTAACATTTTTTTCTGTTTTTGTTTCTCACTTAACTTTGCTTTTAAGATAAGTGCTATAGCCTTACATCTGGCTCCTTTATTTGACACCAAAAAAAAATAAAAATAAAATAAAATAAAATGACCTGCCTACAAGAATTAGTCTATCAAACTTTGTATGTGGATCTATCAACCGACAGAGATAGATATATCTGAACTTAGACTTTTTCTATTTTTTCTAATGAAAGGCTGTTCCAAGTGTTTTGCATTGGTCCACCATAATAGCCAACAGGAAGATGCTTGCAAGTTTCGGAATGTATGGCTCTGCAGATGAGTTCTTCACCAAGAAAATTAGCCTTTGCCGAGCACACAATGACCTAGATGCACTGAGAACGCAGGAGGAAACGTGTTGTATGGATTACCACCAGATTTTAGGATTTATTAATTCGAAAAGTAGCAAAAGACAAAAAAGGTGAACTGTTTGATTGTCAGGCTAGATTCTGTGATCGTATGTCCTACATTAAAGATTGGTCGTCATGCAAACAAATTGGAGCGAACGCTTTCAGAAAGTGGCTCAGATCCTCCGTGATTAATTGAGCTGCAAATTTGAATACTTCTGAGCGGAAGTTGTTGAGTAATGGCAAAAATGCTGCGGGAAGGATACTGTTCAGCCGAATGCAGATGCTGCGTTGAAGGTAATGAAAGGGTTGAGCTTAAGATGATGTATCAACAGAAATGAACGAAATAAGTATTTTCATTTAAGTTTACATACTTAATATATCTTCAACTTACTACTGTAAGCTTTTTCTTTCTTTACAAAGTGCTTCCTTCTAGCTTTGATTCACGAATGTCAACATTCTTCCTGTTTGACCAGAATCGTTTTGCTGCAATCTTCAGGAGAAAAAGTTACATAAGAGCTTCCAACTGTAGCCTTAATTTCATCTATTGAACTAAGTCACCTTTCTTGTGAAGCTTTTTTCAGTTCTGGGAAAAGCCAGAAATCACAAGACGTAAGATCTGGACTGTAGAGGAGTGATTTTATAAATTTGTGCGCAAGGAATTCATGTGTGCAAAGGGGCATTGTCGTAATGAAGGATCCAAGTCCCTTCATCTCGGGCCGGTTTTCACTAATATATGTTTGAAAATTAACCAACATCCTCTCTATTCTAGTAAAGTCATTTTTAAGACGCTCAATAGACAGAGTGAGGAAGGGGACTAAGATGGTCGCCGGGCTGGAGTTCAAAGTTTGTACGTGGGGAAATTCCAAAGACATTGAATAGAGCATCTTTGCAGTTAAAACAAGCAAAAAAACATCTGTTTACTCAACTTGTTATTGAATGAACGTCGTCTGTTGCTCAGTCTTTGACGAAAAGTGCTCAACAAGGAATAGTTCAAACAGGGATCTTGCAAAAGTGCAGCTGGCTGTTTTTTTTTTTTCGGCTGTCATGGCAGACCGATGCAAAACTTCCGGGACAACTTTTGTATTTTGAATTTGAGATATTTAGCGACATGCTTGACAACTTTCGTATTTTGAACTTGAGATATTCAGCAAAATGCTTGTGTCATACTTTCAAAAGTTGTTTTAGTGGCTCCTTTTTACTAAAATGGCGCATATTAACCTTTTTTCATGAAATTTGGATTCATTTCGTCAGAAAAGTTGTTCATGACTAAGTTATTAATCCTTACTACAAAATGAATGTGAGTGATGCAATTATCCCAAGTAGACTTATCTTGATATTGCATTTCAAGAGAGGTGTTTCGAACATTTAAGTTGTAAAAGAAATGAGTGACAAGAGGGCAGTAAAAATGACGAAAAAGACGAAGTTGTTGACTTCTTGGTATCTGTTTATTTAGCCACGGCTCATTTAGCCACGGCTCATTTAGCCACGTGGCGAACTGCAACAAAAATTGTTGCAAATTGCCACAAACTCTGGGTGCTGTGTGGCTAAATGAAACAAGAAAAAATAGTGTGGCTAAATGCAACAAAAATTGTTGCAGTTAGCCACAGTCTTTGGAATGGCCTACCAAATTCAGCAAAAAAAAAAGTAAAAATTGTTATTCATCCTCCCATTCTTATTTCACTGCAGTGTAAGTGATTTTATTGAAGATCTCGAATAAGTATAAACAACCATTCGTATGTATTGAAAACAATTGTTTTTTAAAATAATTTTACCATCCTCCACTAGTGACCAATGCAATACTGATTCTACTTTACGCTGAAATACATGAAAATCTACTAATAGGAAAATATCCGAAGGAATTATTGACTACATGCATCCAGCTCTCCTTCCTTAGATTAGGTCATTAGGTAAGGTTAGGTTAGGTTAGGTTAGGTTAGGTTAGGTCAAGTTCGTTTCGATTAGGCCCGGTAACGCTGCAATGCAGATACCTGGTTTTATCCTTTGGCCATGTGGCTAACTGCAACATAATTTGTTGCACTTCGCCACGTTTGCCACACTAATTTTTCTTGTTTCGTTTAGCCACATAGCACCTAAAATCTGTGGCAAGATGCAACATTTTTTGTTGCATTTTGCCACGTGGCTAAATGAAAAGTAATCGACTTCTTAACTTAAGGGGAAAGTGGTCTCGGTTGAATCAGCTGATTTTTCAATGTTGTAGATTTTAAACTATGGATTTAAAGTGTTAAAAGATTCTTTTCTTTTTTCTCAACCTTTTTTTACGCTTGAAGCGGCATGACACAGAAACACTTTGGAATTGATTTTTCTAAACTTTAGTCAGCTGTAGAAGATTATTAGGAAAGGGCGCTTAGTAGTGTCTGCTCCCTCCATTCATTTGCCTAAAAGAAACCCCTACAGATAAAAATTTTCAAGTTGATGCTTAATGGGAAATTTTAAACCCCCAGAAAGAGGGTAAAATGTCGATTATGAGAAAACGTTCGTCGACATTTCTAAATCATAGGTCATGACCCTCAACATGTTAAAAAATTGACCAATTCTAGCAGGAACACTTTTTTGTATGTCAAGAACTTCGTCCTTCATATTCATTTTACCCAAAGACATAAAGATGGAGCGCTAGAAGAAAAAGATTATGCAAATTCATGCAAACTATCATACTGGCCAGAGGATTGGTGGCGAAATCGAGACAAGTTTGAAATTCCAATGTAGGGTGGGAACTGGATAAAATTGCGAAAACAAAGTATTCTAGGTTGATTTTTGCCCATATTAACTTACCCACCTATATTTTTTTAACTTTAGGTTATTTTTGGTCCGTCATTGACCGATTAATCTCATTTGTGTGCAAAAATCAAGGGTACAAGTTCAAATCAAATTTCTATTTGTTGCCATGGATTCCCACGTGCTTATTTACACACTCACACAAAGGCATAGCACCAGATCTGCATCACTTCTCCCCTGTGCTCTTACCATTGCTTCGTCTTTAGGTCTTCGATTTTACCACACTCTTGCCGTTTATGCCATTTACAACAACCAAAATGTCTGTAACGCCTCAGTTGAAAGAGAACATTACGCTATGCCTATTTGTCAATGAATGCATCACTTATGTCCAATTAGAAACTGAATTATCACCTCAGGAGAACCAGAGCTGCATTTCTCGTAACCAAATTCCCCAGCTCATTTGACCAAACTTCACGGGTCTTTGGAATTGAATTTCCCAGATTGGAATCTTTAGAACCAAATATTCTGGATCTGCGGAATCAGAACCAGCTTTGGTTACAAAATTTCTTCAGGTTTGCAGCCTTGAGACATTGCACCATATTTCCAAGACAGTGCAATTAAAAAAGAAAATAAGACTGCCTTTAATACAATGTTCTTGTATAGGTAACAGTAATTGACGGAAAATTTAATTGACCCTTTTCTGTACAAGTCTCTGTAATTTCACGCCTTCATTCTTTTCTTCTCCCCTTAATTTCCAGCTGTCACTCTGTTGGCAGAATTAGAGAAAACCGGTGTCAAATCCTGCCTGCTCGACGCCCCCGGTAGGGTTTAAAGTATAATCAAGTGTTAAGTATTGAAAACTAAGAATCAATATTTTTCACTCCAAACCGGTTGTCTTGCCGCAAGTTCTTGCCCTAAGGCTGCATGGGTGTTACCTATACTGAAGCCAATGTGCATTCACATTCATGTCAAGTCTTTCTCAAGATGAGTATGAAATTACGTACATTCACATCACTCTGATGTCTCTGTGAAAGCTACATCACACCCAACCCACTATGATTAACTTTCACCATTTTTTATGAAGGTCATAATAAAATGACGTTTTTAAATGAAACTGTCATCATCAAGGATGTATTGTGCTGTTATGATGCTCGGTTTTCAAATGTTACCTTTATGTATATGCTTTCAATACTTTGCATATTCTTGTTTCAGGTTGTGTACCAAGAAGGAAAAGCTGTCCTCTTAGAGTGCAGCGTTCGCAGCGTTTGTGAGAGCAATCCCATGCTTACATGTTTACAGACGCGTTGGCCTAATATAGAAATTCTGTGGGTGAATGGCACCACACCCTCCTTAAATTAAAAACAAAAGGACTTCAATTCACATCAAAATCATACTGCTTTCTGCTCATTATGAACACTGATGGGCGAAAATGTTTCTCTAATTGTCTGTCATGTTTACAATGTGAGGTTTTCATTTCAAAGTCAATGTGTATTCCATTTTTAGAAGTGTTTATTTCTGTTACTGCACATTCAAAGTAAAAAAATGTTCTTTTTCTCATAGTCATGATTTTCATCTCAGTAAAGACACGCAAAACCAATCATTGAAATTGATCCTTAAGGAATTATGAAATCACCTATTTTTGGTATTTCAAGAAATTGTGTTTTTTCTTTACCCACATTATTACTATAGGAATTAATGCAAAGGAAACTAAAATCACTCTACAGTTGTTTTGTTTGTCAATTATTTTTAATTGATACATTCCATAAATTTATGAAAATAATTTCTGTGTACATTTTTTCTCTAAACTATGATTCAACTTTTTAATGTCGTAGGTAGTTGTAATTATTCTTCATATTTAACTTCATAGAAAATTTAGGCCTTTAATGTTCACCAACTCAAATGTCATAGGGACTCGTAGACAATGGTTTTAGTCAATCATTTTGACTCCAAAGTGATGATCAAAGTAGGGTCCAAATAGGGATTTAAGCACATCCATTGCCAGGTGCCGCCAAAAAAATCTAATTATAGGATAGTACCTACTATTTGGCTGGTCAAACTATTGAGTATGCGCAGAATGCATAGAAAGGTGTGATGCAGTGGAAGGGGTGGAGGACACGCTCAGCGTCAGAGCTGCAAGAAGCGGAAACTTCCCAATCTTCCCCGGTTCTTTTCGAATTTCAAAGTTGTCCCAGTTTTGCGACGATACCATCAAGTATTGAGAGACATGGCTTAATTTTTACTTGCGAGCGCCCCATCCCACATAGCACAGAATATTGATATAATACTACAATAGTACTGACACGTCAGTAGTGTTAGTATTTATAAAATGCTGATGTATCCTGATTTAATATTATATCAAGACTATGCCAGTATTTATTAGTTACTGATTTGGAGCTGTCAAAATATTGTTACAGTATTGGCCGAAAAGGTTGATTTCATATGGAAATCAGGGTTATGACAAGGTCATCAGAACACTGCAGGACACCGACAATATGTATGCGTTACTACCTTAACAATGACACGTCTGTACACTCAGCGCACTCTGTCAAGTAGATATGAAAGTTCAGACGATGACCGTCATTTTCATAGTACTACACATGTATTACATTTGAAACATGAATTACACAAGTATACAAGTATTGAATATTATAAACCACTTACTTGATGTCCTGCGACGTTTAGTAGCGTAAAATACCCGGACGCCCTCAGGTGGATTTGAACCCGAACCGCGGAATTCCTAGCCCAGTATTCTGCCATTGAGCCACAAGGAGCTGATGGTGTTCCGGGTTAAAATCACGCCTGTTAAGGCTGTTATAGCATGCATAGCATCAGTGCGCGGCTCGACTTTCATCATAACTTTGATTAACACCGTGTTTTCTTAGGCTTCTTTTTCTTAAAATTCCTATATTTTTTCTCATTTTTTCGTGTTAATTTCTTTTCGTGTTATTTTTTTTTTACCTCGTCAGCATTGACTCAATACTGTTGTTTGATATATTGAAGGTATCAGTGTTATATTCATGCTGACGCGGTATACCTTTTAACCGACAATCTTAGTATCATACTGCATTAGTGTTGATGATATCATGTCAACATCCAACAATATGTATCAGTATTGACATAAGATTCTGTGCTATGTGGGATCTCGATGTCTTTGGTTTTGTTCAGTTCTTCTAAGACTAGAGCGTGGCAACTGGCGATGCCGTATGCATGGGGTCCCTATCACCTAGCTTTCCTCAGAATATGTATGTATAAAATTTATTTCATAAAAACCAGGAGGTTCGGACATCCGTAAATTTGTTACGACTAGAGTACCTATATAGACAGAGTGTGACCATTCCTATCTTTTTAGTAGGCACAGGAAAATTATGCTGCTTTTTGATTTGTCTACGAGTACTATGCTATCGTGGTCAGAGACCTAGATATTAAATTTTTCTCGCTTGATCAGATCATCGTTCAACACCTCACTGTGCTGGAGTTTGAGTTCACGTTCGCAATGAAGAATTCTAACGGAGTAGGCACGGAATGAAGGGTCCGTTTTCGATGGCGAACAATTCGCGGGGAGGTCCCTGTCGGGTTCGCTACTCTAAACAGTGTTCTGTGAACACATTGTGAACCAAATCGGATTGAAATTTGGAACTTGAACTAATAAGTAGTCGACTCAAATAGTTAGCGTTCAAATAACTGATACCAAAGATCTGACCACTATCTGCTATCAAATCAACTTCATAGCGTTAAGAGTTCCTCTATGCCGTGGGGCCGTCAATGCCTCATCTGCACTGGTCGTCCCTAGTCTCTTACCCTACCTTCCGCTGCCAGCAGCCCAGCCAAACCTGCTCTTTTCCTAGTGCGTGGCACATTAGGGTGTATCATCTTTATACCTGCAGACATTTTTATGAGGATTTTTTTCGCTCCCATCCCCTCAACTCGTTCCATTTGCCTTAAAAATGACTCATTGCCAGTAAAAAAATTAGCTTGATTGGAACTTTTTAAACTTTGCCTCCTGGGGGGTACATAGTTGCTTACACCCAAATTAATGGTTCACATAGAGAGAAATTAAATAAGCACCGCCTAAAAAATAATTTTCGTCTAATTGATTTCTGTTTCTTAGGTGTTTCGCCTGTACTTTTTAGCGTAAGATACACAAATGATAGCCATTTTTTGCCACAGCATCAGAATGTTTCGAATAATTGAAATCCTCTAAAGTATCGTTTTCTAATGAAAATTAAAGTTTCTCAAAACCTTCTGTGTAATCGAAAAGAAGCGAAATAATATGTAAATAAAAAACCATAAAAACATCAATAGCATGAAAATATTACATCGGTAGCTGAAGGCGAAACTACGTATCTGCATTACTGTGTTTCAAAATCTCTGCTCCTATTTAATTTTTTGAAGTGAAATCAGTCAACTATATAGTTTGAAATTTCTAGAGAATATGCTGCATATAGAGAAGAAAAATCAAGGCAGTTTTCGAGACATTAAGTTGATTAGTTTTCCAATGAAAGATGAAGTACCTATGTAACAAGAGGTCTGCAACGTCGCAAACGGAGATGCGTGGTTTCGCACTTTGGCCATTGATACGGCTCAAAACAGTATCCTCCTTCCTTTGATGATACATTTTCTTCCAAAAGACAGTCACATCACTGGTACAAGAGAAAAAAGATTGTAGAGGAAGAATAAAGATATGAGAAAATAAACGTTAATCAAAATGTTAAGATGAACAGTTATTTTTTATGCATCATACTAATTGAGTTACTTAACAGTTCAACATTTTTGGCACATAGTAGACTGTTTGAAATTTTTGAAGATATTTCCATGTTCAGAGACAGTCTGCATAATTAACTATCCTTGACTCTCTTGTTTCGTCCAAAAATGTTCGTATTCGTCAATCTACTTTACGTTTACGACCCTTTCAGCCACACCATTGAGCACCTTTATTTTTCTGACCTTTTTAAGTAAGTCTTGACATAGCTCTCATTTTGGGGCCAAGTCTCCGGGTCACATCCTAGTAAATCGTCTTAGAGTCCTATTCGTCCTATTTGTTGGGAAAAAAGGTTCAAGCCTCCTGAAATAAATTCGTGCATCCCCTTTCCTTGAATCTCATTGACGTCATGTATTCTTAGACGCTCAAGACTTTCGTGTAGTGGGTTTTCTTTATCTAGAGCTTTAACTTATTTTTAATTTTGCCTCAGGGGAAATCCTATCGTCAAAAAACGCAAGGGATGCATGTTCACTTTTTAATAACCATAGGTATGAGGCCTTATTCGTAAAAACAGCAGATGTTGCATTTTTAAGTTTTGAGAAAGTTGCGTTCAAAGTTTTCAGAGCTGTGTCCGTCTTGACATCTGCCCTGGAATAAAAGGCTTCCTGATTTTAAGTAAACGCATTGGATTGGATTTTCTGCTAATTCCAAGGCGGGTCCGTTATGGACGATAACACCGGGTTTCTCATTATAAGCACTCAGAATTGTCTTGGAACAAGAAAGTCCTATTTTCTTGAATAAAATCAACGGCGTTTTAAAATAAGCGATCGTGTACTTGAATGAAGGAGCCTGTTTCTTAAAATTAGTAAAAGGGGACAACGCCTTGAGAGCATCGTCGTTCCCTTTTTTCAACTCCCCAGCTTGCTTGAAAGAGGAAAACACGTTACGTCGAAAGAATAAATCGTTCTCTTGAGATAAGTAAACGGGGCGAATGCCCTCTGAGAACGTTCATTGCCCCTTTTCAAGTCATCAGCTTGCTTGATCAAGTAAAATACGGTGCGTCGAAAGAAGGAACCAGTATCCTTAAAATTCGTTAACGGGCTGGGCGCCTTCCAAGGGGGAAAAACCAATTAGCAATACGCTTGTTGCCATATTCCAAGTAACAGCTCGCTGGATGAAAGAAAACACATTGCGTCGAAAGGAGAAACCAGGCTCCTTAATTAAAATTAGTAAACGGGGTGGTGACTCCTCCTATGAGGATGACGCATGCAATGGAGATGTTGCATGTGTGAGGAATTTGCGATTTGACTGTTGTTTCTTATATAAAAGTTCGCGAGAAACACGATGGTGCCTCTGGTTTTCTCTGAAATCAACTCCCATGCTCAAAAAAGCTCTCAAGTTGAGCCCGAAATGGAGGAGATATCCCACCCCACCTACCCTGAGAGTCCACGTCTACATCAAGACAAACTATCCATGCAAAGATAAGGAGCCAATACATTGACAGGGCTGCCTTTCAGAGTTAAGAAATTTCGTGAAAGATTATAAGAAGAAATTTCATGAGGAAATTTCAAGAAACTTCATGGGAAAAAAGGAAATTTCATGAAATTTCTTGTAAAATTTCACAAAATTTCATTCGATGAAAGGGGTGGGTGCAAAATCGACAAAATTTCCCCCCTCATGGATGTTGACCAAATTTCAGTATGTCATTCCTCACTATGGGATACGCCTTTTCCCAAAATTTCACGGCCTGAAACGAATTTCTCTCCGCGTAGCAGCGTTGCCAAGTTGAAAACCGTCGAGTTCCATATCTTTTGAACGAAAAGAGATATTGAGATGCGGTTTGCGCTAAAATTCTCCAAAAATTGCGTTCTTTCGATATATGTACTCAATTTGATCGTTTAGGTAATTTAAGATTGCAATGATGCCATTTTTCACACTTTCT